CTCCTCGTCTTAAGAACACTCGAGCATCACTTTCGTATTTATCAGTCTGTTAACGATGAGATACTCCCCTTTATCATCAAAAAGGAAGTTGTTGTCCATGTCCACACACCTCTCCGGGGTGAAACTCCTGACATAAGACACCAGCTTCTCGTAGGAAAGCTGATCCTGGGCATCCAAGTCCTCATGCTTTACTACATAATACTCGGGCTTCTGCTTGAAGTTCTTCCACTGCCATTCGAGAGGAAATCTAGTCGTCAGTCAAACTATTGTTCGACCTTCCTCGACCTCTTCTGAGCAATCATACAATGAGGCCACGAACGCATCCATGAGAGGCTTCACGACGAAGTATCTCTCTTTAAAGTGGCGGACAAATTCGAGATATGGTCAGAAAAGTTTCTCAAACTGTTTAAAAGACAAACAGGCTTATCCCCCTCCGATGGACTGCCTTTGCAAATGGAAAATGCAGAAGAATAGGGGCAACGTGGCACCTATTTTGAGATATTGACATACGAGCTCGAATGCGCGCATGAATGCAAGCGCATTCGAGTGAAGCTGGAAAGGTGCCAGTTGTAACCATTGGAAAACCCCCCACTTGGAAATTGTTGAAAGGAAAACGCATATGCGCTTCTTTAAAGGCAAATTCATACATGGGAAAGCGTTTTCTCGGATATGCCAAGCATATCCTTCTGTTTCTATGAGGGATCTGAAGGGCCCAATTAGAAGGAGCACCCTCTGCTCTAACCTTTTTGGGCAATTGAATGCATCAGAAGCCTCCTGCGAGAAAATTGACTTCTTGTTCCTAGACTCGGGCGCAACCCAGGCCAAATGGTCTTTCGCGACAGGATTCTCGTCCTCATGGGTGGCGGGCATGGTGTCTTCCTCGATTTAGTGTGCCATCATACCTGAAAGGCAAGGGAAAATAGTGAATTTTACTTCATCAAATTCATCCTTCCACCGCAAATCAAGTGAAAGGATGATGAATTCCTTGAGGAATGGACCTCGACAACCAACCTCGAAATGAACCACGCCATGCACGGGGACATTTGGTCGACCCAAAAATCTCCCCACCATTTGGGGAGGATGACCCTGACACGCATCTATGAAGATCACCTAAAATCTTCATTTGCGGTCATGAACTCTGATGAATACCCATGAAGATTCACGGTAGAACCTATGGATATTCACCCAGGAATTCATCCGTACATGACAAAAACTAAGTATTTAATCTAAAAATTCTGAGAAAAAGCATTATCAAGAAGATATGACTTACTTGGAAAGATGTTTTCTGAAGTATTCTACGGTGGCGCTAGAACGGAGAAGATCCACAAGCAAAGGAAGAAGACTCGAGAAGAGAGCTTGAGAATGGAAAATGAGAGAGCTTGAGAATAGAAAATGAGCTTGTGGATTCCCCTTTTTATAGAAGGTTTGCACCCCACGAGACAACACGCGAAAATTCATCATTACTTTGGTCTTTAGAACTCCCATATAAAAATATGGCATCCCAAAACAGCTGCCACGTGGGATTGACAATCAGCCACGTGCCCACTCTTGGAGACAAACTTATCTCTGACTAAATTACAAAATGTTGTATACGGGCAAATTGGTGATGTTTCAGGCTCAGTGGAGGGCAAATGTGCGACCCCATGACATAGCTCTACCTACGGGCACATTTATATTGTTTCTCCCAAAGGCGGGGTAAACGCTCGACATCGAGACAACGCCTCAAAAACGGGCACGTCAAAAATAATTTTGGGGAAACTCCTCGCTTCCTATGGATGTATATGCCCGACAATACCAAACCAACGAAACCAGGATTAAAGTTGGTCAAGGGACCACCCACTGACCTGGTCGACCATGTCACATGCATGTTTTCTGCATCCTCGACATCAGCCAACGAGTTATCCCAGACGGAGTTGGGCTATCTATCCTTTCGCACAATGTTTCCCTGACAGTGGAGCTGAAACTTAAGTCATCACTCTTTCACCTAAGAGCAATAACTTGGGGAGCTCCTGTTCTGGACTGAGCCGACATTTACCCCACCATTGGGGAGGCCTAACTCAGTGCCTTTATCAAAGGCCCAAAAGCATGCAACCCAATCTAAAAACCGCTAGGCATTTCCCTACGTGTCCACTAGGAGGACATTGCCCACGTGTCCATATCATCATCATCATCCTGCCCTCTAGGAATAACGGGTCCAGCTCCTGCTTTCTCGAGGCAGTTGATCAAGGAGGAGGCCGCGTGTTGGACTCCATACACACCTAAGCCCTGGAAGTCTTTGTTGTTGGGCCTCATCGTGGCCTATCATTGAAGATATTGGCCCAGCGTTAGGGGCTATAGATACTCTCTCACTTGAGAGGGTCAGATATTGATATTCATACTCACTTACTCTCATATTTGATAGCACTTGTTCTAAAAGTTACTTTGACATCAGAGTGTCTTGCAGGAATATCCCCTCCCTCCCCCCCTCCCCCCCCCCCCCCCCCCCCCCACACACACACACACACACACATCGCATTCAACTGTTGCTCGACTCAAAGCTTGACGATTTTGACAATCCCTTTTGCTCAGATACCATCACTTATGAACACGAAATTATATATCAAAATGAAGGGAATTTCGTGTAAATTCCAGAACATTAAGAATTTCTTAAAACAGAGTTATGAGTAAAAAGTTATGACATGTTATGTGGAGACTGCACCATAGCTACGAAAATGGAGTTTGGAATTGAGAGATAAGACTTCTTCTATTTCTCTCTCTACTTTCTTCACAAAATTCTGATTGTTAAGTCTCTCTCCAAACAAAACCTTAAGGATACATGAAATCATGTTTAATGACCCAATTGCCCTTTAACCATGTTAATATTACAAACTTGTCATCTTATTCCATTCTAACCAAGTTCTTAAAATGTCCAACTACTCTCATCTTAGGAATAAATATAGAGATGTTACATTCTCTCTCCTTAAATAGAATTCGCTCTCAAATTTCTTTCAATCATCGTGATCACAGATTTCTCACACCTTCCAACGGGGGCGAATATTCCTTACACGTCTCCTTTGAATAAACTATATGACTTAGTCTGAAAATCGCTTCATTCAAGAAAAGACAACTCTCTGCTACGCCTGAGTCATGATATTATTGATTGAGAATCTTAGTCCTCACTCAACACATCTCTCCCGGCGTTTTGTCCTAACATACTTGAGAAAAGATTCTTTCGGGTCTCCAACCATACTTCTTCGCACTGAGTCTTCAATAGCTTCGGAATTTCTGGCAATCCATTCTGATCGGACATTCCTCATCTTTAATATTCACTAAGCTCATCCTTACTCAACACATGCCATGATTTTCCACTTCTTCTCCTTGGCCCCTTGTAATGCTTCTAATCTGTATATTCCTATTGTAGTGTCTCTTTCTAACGATAATCATTCAGATTCGCTTCCACACGAGTCCAAACAATATCATAAAAATACTTGTCTAATTCCTTCATCTTGACTTCAAACTCCCAGATGTTCAGATTGGCTTGCTCCAAGTCTACCTTCTTCGTACAACAAGACTTCTTACTTCGATCCTTCTTCCAGTTTAGACAAAATAATTGTCACTGTAATCTACAAGAGTGTACAATTTTGTAACAACATTTTTGATATCCAACAATCTCACACAAAGCTTCGCTGACAAAAGGTGAACTCTAATAATTAGCTTGCAACCATCGTCCAAGTTTGCATACACGCTCATAAATGCACAGGACATAGTCACAAAGAGCCTACGCCAAAGAAATCCTTTACTTGTCTTCATAAATCAAATGGCCACGATACTCTATCCAATCCCCGATACTCACAAGCTCGACAGATGGTCCAAGAATATCTGGTTATGCACCAACCACAGAGTCTTCTCTATGACCGTCCATCAACATCTCTCTAGATTTTGGTGGATCTTTGAGAGACTGAGATGAACAAAACATTGCTTCGACGAGTTTCTCCTAAGAAGATATCTCCACTCGAACACCATAGTTCAAGTAGTCCACCCACACCTACTGCAAGCTTATCTGGTTCTTCTCTTATCTGTTACGTTACTCTGATCTTGACCCAATCACACGCTTCTTGAAACCTATTGAGTCACTCTTGTCCACAATCCACTTAGTTCCATAGCTTTACTACATCTGCTCAATCCCTTAATAACAACAATTCTCTCCCGAGATTCGTCCTATCACAGTACACGCTAGAGTCTTAGATAACATTCAACAGAGACTGCTTCTCCAAGTTAAATAATTTCTATAATCAGGTCATTAGAGATTCTATCATTCTGGTTACGTCCATTGAACACATCTTGATCACATATTTTGGTTCCATAATGTCTAAGGTCGAATACTCATTGAATAGGAGTTCACCTTACCCTACCGATTTTCACATCATACTACTGGTAATGATAACACTCCCCACTTTTCCATAGTTCCTTCTTAACCATACATCTTCATACTCTTAGTGTGACTCCACATTAGTTAACTCATGTGGAGACACGGTCACGAAGTTTTTTTTTTTTTTTTTTTTGATAAGCTGGATATGTATAAGATAACCATGATGGTCGACTTTAACTCTAATGCTTCAATCTCAAACTAAAAGTAACCCAATATAATTTCCTTTTTAACAACAAATTTGAATCCAGTCACAAAGTAGAAAATTTTTATTGCTTTGAAAGTATTTTTCTACAGAAACTTGGGCTCTGCTATAGTGGAGGCTCAGACAAAACCACCAAGTCCAACACATTCAAAATGACTACTGATGACAACAATTTCTTTTAAAACTGAAACTGAGTATAACACTTGTAGCACTAAAAAGGATGATCTGTATATATAATAAATATACACAGGTAACAACTAATATTTACCACCACCTATGGCCTTATACATTCTACAAAATCATTGCATAAAGACCAATTAGTTCTTCAAAATTGGGTAAAAGAATGAAAACCAATGTTAGAAGAAACCTATATAACCCATTTTGAGTTTTCTATATCCTTTCAAGTTTTCTTCTAAGCCATTCTGATATTCGCTTGACCTTCCCCTGCAGCTTATCATTTTTTGTAATTGTGAAGTAGTCTTGAGCATTTGATAGCATCACCTTTATATCATGCTTGACACTTTCCACACTCCGATAGTAATCATTCTTTAGCCTTAACTGAATCAGTTCGGGATAAAATGGAACAGGAAACCTGTAGCACAAATCCAAAGACACATTAAAGTTCAAAATTTAAACTGTTGCTTTATTTCTGTCATTTCTTTTTATTTTATTTGTTTGTGCCGAGTCACCGAAAATGCCATAACACAGCTCTATCAAATAAAAGGGGAAAAGATACATGCACGTCGGTTCTCTGTTTTTCCATATAGAAATATGAATCTGATGGTTTAGTTAAGTTGTAAACTTGTTTTAGTACCTGTTTGAAAAGTCCAACTTCGCAGCTACTCGATTCAGTGCCTGGATATCATACTTATCCTGGATTTAGAGAGATAAAAACGAGGTTAACATATGATTTCCTCCACCCTCCCAAAGCCAAAATACAACATGTCACTCTTGTTTTCTTGAAATAAAAAAAGATGAGAAATTTGTTCATATATAAGATATACTAAACAATCCTCATTTAAGGAGGGAAAGCGAGTACATTAGGAGAAATGGAACTTCACGTCTACTCACCCTGTGGTATAATTTAGTGAAATAAAACAGCAGCTTATCTCTGATCTCGGGATCAATGTGGGGGTGCTCTCGTTGAATCTCAGGATCATTGAGTTCCCAAGGACTATGCCGAAGACATTCTGTTGGATCATTATCATAGTTGACCTCAAACCTATCCCAAGGACTGTCAGGGAATACATCAGATTTGGCCTTCACTGCAACTATTTGACCATGCCACCAACTTCCATCTTTCCCATCTGGATTCCGCCACCATACTCTGCATCTTTCTTCTGGGGACCAATTTCTCTTCATGACAGCATCATAGAATGTTTTCTCAATAACAAAATCGGAGAAGTCGTTCAACTCGGGTAAAGTTAATTTGAATGATTTTTTAAAAGCGTGTGAAGAAGGATCCACAAATCTCAGTCCAAGCTTACAACAGCTATCCCCAGAACCTGGGACCTCCGCATACTCAAGTTTTTCAACTTTGCAAATTTCAACAGCCCTTAGTGCTGGAGATAATATCCATGGACCTGGTTCAGACGTAGTAGAACATGAGGTTTTGTATTCTTCATGACCCTGGCAATACAAAATGCTCAACAATGTAAACCAAGAAACATATTGCAGAAACTTGCATTCCAAAATAAAGTCGATAGTATGATCTATGAAGAAGAAAAAATAATTATAACAACATAAACTACCTGTCTCAAGTATACAACTTCATCCCCAAGTTGAGGAATATAACGGTAACCCTCATCATGCTCTTCTGAAAGCATTAGCCATGAAAGCTTTTTGACATGGTGATTTGGTATGCTTTGAGCTAAAACACCAGGATCATTGGCAATATATTCATCAGACCTGTTTCTTGCAGATCTTGTTCTTTGATGAAGTTCATCAGACACTTTGATAGAAGAACCTTCCCGGCTGGATGTGCCCCTTGAACTTTGGCTACCTCGGATTTTAATCCTCTCGTTCAAAGCATCTGGCTCCTCGTAAGTTCTTTTCATCCTAATTGATCGCGTTCGACGAATAGGATCGCTGCCAACATTAGATAAATCAATTCCTAAACTATGCTGATTGCTGTAAACTGGAGCATTTTCTTCCGGATCAAAATCAAAACCATTAGGACTAGGTTCCCTTTTATATGATTTATTCCTTTCATGGACGTGATTATAACTTCTCTGGTCAGAATATGAATTCAGTAGCTGCGGATAACTTGTACTTCTGCCATCTCCCCCTTCTAGTGCTTCTGGTAATCGATCAGTCCCTGTAAAAGAGGGATTTCCAGAGATTACATCATTTCTAGTACCGATTGAATCAGCCTTGGAACTACCAAATTTCAGTTTGGAAGGACCTTCAATGTCTTCTAGAGGCTGTTTCTTTTTAATAACTATTTTAGTTGGTTTAAGGGGTGCTTTCATTTTGAGGTCTTGAGAGTGGCTTGAGTCCTCGGTGCATTTATCAGATTTAGACTGGCCTTTACAACCACCACTCAACTTATCATAACCAGATGCTATGGGACCATCAGCAATTGGTTGATGGTTGTCAAGCCCCCAAGATTCGAGCGATGAAAAATTAGCTGTATTATCAAAATCAGACAGCTCTATATTAACCATGCTACTGTCAGTCTTTAACTCGCTATTCATATGTTCTGATTTCCTGCAAAACATGGTAGAAAAAACATTTGCTCTTGAGTTCAAAGAGGTTACTAAATAACTAAAAGAAAGCAGTATCATAAAAAATATTTTTAACGTGTGTAGCATGCTTTGCATACCCATTGGCACTAAATTCAGGATCACCATTAATTTCAGTATCAGTCAACAAAGCATCCCCTGATCTTGAAAGGTCATATGTGTGGCTTTCCGGAAGGTTAGCATTGGTAGCATCTGACATACCATTCGTGTCTGGCAAAGTTTTTTGGAATCTTTCTTGGGATTGGGGTGTAGAAGACTGACATACCATATCAGCCTGATTCTCACGTGCAAATCTTGCGTCCTCTAAAGGCACATTCTTCTTAGAAAGTGAAAACTTAAGAACCAGTCTCGGTCTACTTTCAAGAGTTGTCTGAGCCTCAGAATATGGAGGTGGCTTGGATACATTGGCAGACTTTTCCAATGGGGCTTTTTTAGGCTCTTCACGCTTAATATGGACTTTCCTCTCAGGTTCACTGTGATTTTCTGAATCTTCAAAACTGTCTGATGATTCCTCTTCGGAATAATTATCTTCCCCATCAGTAGATGTTTCATCAATATGAGATAACATATTACGAGCATTATGGGCAGCCGTTCTCAGAGGTCTCGATGTCTTAGCTTTGGAAGATTTCCTTTTTGCTGATTTTGAGCTTGCTTTGGATTTCTTAACTCTGTTATTTCCAGAAGTCTTACCGTTACATTCTTCCAAATTCCTTTTCCTAACACGCCTTCCAGAAGTTATTCCCTCAGCCTGAGAAACATTATGATTAGATGACAAGTTATAATTAAAGATTGATCAAACAAAAATAGACACTGCTTACTCCAATATTATGGCTTTTCCTTCTTGATCTTCTAAGACCATCCCTATTGTTAGAGTCGCTTTCACTGTATTCCAAGTCACTAGAAGAGATGACACTAATAGTCCCTTGCTCGGCTGTGCTAGAGTTATCCTCGTTCACATTGTATTCAGAATCATTATCATCACTCACGATGTCATATTCAGGCTCCCATAACAAGGCGTCCAAAAACTCTGGTTGTGGATCAAGCAATCCTTCCAAATCAGCCAAAGGTATCACCTGGTAATCCTGGCCAACACTAAAATCTGGACCAATAGCATATTTTATCAAAGAAGGACGCCATTCAATGCCAAGAGCACCGAGACGGCGTCGCTGGAATTGACTCTGATAAGGTTCTGGATATGGTATCATACCTGGTAATTAAATAATTTGTGATAAGAGAAATTTGAATCCAAATAAGGCAGCAAGAATTTCAGAATAAGATCCGCAACTTACTAGAATCACATAGAGGTTCCTGAATGTTTCTTCGGTGTGGTGGAAGTTGAGTTTCCTACATCAGGTGTGACATATGTTTAGATTTAGAACGTATGATAAGGCCAATAAATGAATATTAGTTTCTTGATCAACTATGATGGTAAAACCAAAAATTAAAAAAAGTATAATGATGATTCTCAACCTGATCAAGAATATTTCCCTGAGTATCCTGAATTAGGGGTCGGTAATCACCAAGGAAAAACTGCCATAAAAATCAGAGACAATAACATTAATTAACTTGTCATAAATATGTCTCTTTCTCTTTCTCTATTAGTGTGTGCGCTCGCAGTATAGTGATATTTGACCACCTGATCATATTTTGCATCCTTCTGAGACTCTCCTTGACCTGTACTCAGAAAATATATCTGTCCAACATCATCTGAAAGCACGATTGATGTTCCATCCCTAAAATAAACACAAAAGTATATTTAAATATCATAAGTTCTCAGAGCTCTTGATGATTCATCGAAGATGGACACTATAAGGCATAATATCTATGACATGGAACACTCATCATTGACAAGGTGAGTGTAGAGCCTAAATTGTTTCTTCACCGACACACAAAGCAGCAAACATAATATCGATATGCACGTCAAAGAGGATCTCGACTATGTAAATATCCAAGCTGATCTCTGAAAGAGGAGTGCTAGCAACACACTCTTTACAACACACTCTTCACTGGTTGAAAATTCAAATGGACTCCACTAAATCACGTAGGTCCCACATAAATTTAGTGCGACCCATGTGAACCAACAAATAAAAAAGTTTGTTGATATTATATTTCTCTCTGAAATTATAGCACTGCATTGACCTAGTCTCCCACCTTATCAATATTTCAAAATAATCTCTAGAATTGCAAAGTGCTATGAAGTTTGTCCCTCTATCTGGATCTTTTATCGAATGCATATATATTAGAGTATCGGTAACTGATTAGTTAATTACACTGCCAGCTGTTTTAACAGCTGTAATTCTGTTAAACCAAATATGTACACCTATGCACATGATTAGAGTTTGTTAGATGAAGGTTCTAGATTCTGTTAGATCTAACATGTGCACTGTGGCACAAGATTAGAGTTAGTTAGAGGAATGTTCTAGATTCCATTTCATCTAACCTGTGAACTGTGCACAGGATTAGATTCCTATATAATGCTATGATCTTTCCTCTATGAAACCAATGAAAAACAGAATATTACAAAAGAACTTAGTTATGAATTCTCTAAAACATGACAATATCTGACATTATTAACTTAGTTTCATATTCATGTTTGACATTACTAAATTTAATTATAGTCCCTCCCTGCAAATACAAGCGGAGGGACAAACCTGTTAACACTTTGCTATTTCAGATATCATTTTGAATATTGATAATATGGGAGAATGGGTTGATATAGTTCTACAATTTCAAGGACTAAATTAGATATTTATTCGCCCTTGGCTGCACTGTTGGTATGGATCTGCACAGCTACTATTTATGACAACAGCGTTCATGACAACAGCGAACATTTGTTAGCCAGATTGCTTGGGAACAGGGGAAGAACTAGTTAGTTTACACACAAGATTCATTACTATCAAACATATATTATAAGAGAGAACAGGTAATGAAAGGTCTTTCTATAGATGAGAATGGGATATATCCAACACAGCTCAAAACAAAATCATTCAAAAGTCTCTACCTAACAGCTTAAGTTGTAAGGCGAGGGACGAGGGTATTCTTGTCATGGAATCAAAGCCACTGTGACTAAGAATATCTTTCAGTCTCTCGTATTTTAAAATAGTATCCAGAGCCTACTGAGAGACAATTGTCACCATGCTTTACCCAGTTAACCCACTGTCATCCGGTGAGAAATTTTTGACAAACCATGTCATAACTCCGGTTTGCCTTCCATACACGTCTATGACTATAACAACGATAACCTTTTTGGGATCGATGATAACCAAAAAAAAATACTTTAGTGATCGAGTTGATAGTTTATCAAGACCAGGAGAGAGATTGTGTACAAAACATGTAGATCCGAAGACTAAGGGAGGAATTGGATGAAGGGGAAATGGGAAAAAAGGATTGAATGAGGGATTTTATTGTTAAGAACATGATTACATGTGATTTATAAGGTAACATACTGTTAGCACAGCGTCCCCCCAAAACCGAAGTGAAACATCACCATGGAGAAGTAGGGTCGGAGAGGTTTCTACGAGATGCCGATATTTGCGTTCGACTATCCCGTTTTGTTGAGGTGTATGAGGGCAAGATGTTTGGTGGAGAATACCATTACTGGACATAAAAGTTTGATATTGTTGGGATAAGTATTCACGAGCATTATCACTTCTTAAGGTACGAATAGCCACACCACACTGAGTTTTTATTTCTTTATAAAAAATTTTAAAAATAGAAAATAATTTTGATCTATTTTTTATTAAAAATAACCACGTAGAGCGCAAAAAATCATCAATAAAGGTGACAATACCTGAACTCAAGAGTAGAGACAATACGTAGGGGACCCCAAACATCAGAGTGAACTAAAGCAAAAGGGGATGAAGCTCGTTTATTGACTTGATTGGGAAATTGATTACGAGTGTGTTTTCCTAACTGACACGACTCACAATGTAAGTTAGATACCTTCGATAAACTTGGCACCAACTTCTATAATTTGGGAAGACTAGGATGACCTAACTGAGCATGGATAGTGAGTGGAGAATCTTTGGGTGAAAATGTCTGAGATGACACTGAGAGGTAATAAAGGTCTTGAGACGCACATCTAACGCTAATCGTCCGTCCCGAACTCCTATCCTGCGTGGTAGCATTACTATTAGCAGAGTTGTGAATCGCGGGCGCTATCGCGGCGCGACACCCACCCGCACGATTCATTGGGTGCGGTCGCGGAGATTATTTAGCGGGCGAAACCGGGTCACGGGTTCTTCCTGGGCGGAGCAGTTTTGACTGATTTTCATTTTTTTTCACTTTTTTTTCTGGATTTACGAAAGAAAAGATGAAAGAGAAGATGTAGAAGAACAGGGAAGATGGAGAGAAGATGAAAGAGATATGTTTTATTGATAAAAAAGAGTTCAAAAGTGAAAAAGCAACTTGTTCAATCTTATCAACAACAGCTGTAAAGTAATTTAATATAAAAAATTTACTTAACATACAGTTGTAAAATTAATGACCTACAGCTATAAATAATAAAAATAATTGTCAAATTGGATTTGACTCTAAAAAATTACTCCTACCTGAAAACTTAGTTGAGTTTTATTAAATGTTTTATTAATAAAAATAATAATATTAATAATAAAACTTAAAGGCAACTTAAAGGCAACATTAATAATAATCATTGTTCTTTGTTTGACATTAGATTTTATAAATATTTTATGAGTGTTGTGAAATTAGTTTAGTAGATTATTATATAATTATTAGTATATAAAAAATTATCCCGCTATCCGGGATCCCGCTATTCCCACTATTCCCATTCTCGGGGGTCGGCCGCTCCGCTCCGCTATCCAGGATTAATAACTTTGACTATTAGTGAAGGTGACGATACAATCAAGAGAACGAGTTAAACGACTGACTGAAAGCAAATTAAATGGACAATTAGGTACATGAGAACAGAGGTAACAAAGAGAGAAGGTAGAATTTGAACCGTACCAATTCCTTCGGATCGGGTTTGAGAACCATTGCAGAAAGTTATAGTATGTAATAAACCAAAGGTAAAGAGAGAAGAGAAAATGTTTTTATTATCGATAACATGATCAGACGCACTAGAATCAAGGATCCAAAGTCTAAGAGAAGATGATTGAGAGACAAACAGATGAATTACCAGTGTGTGCAACCGAAGCAGTAGAATTTGAGTTTCGATAATCCTGATACCCCCTGAGAAATCTTTAGTAGGTTGTCGTTGACTTTCTATAGTGAAAGTTGGTCCAGATGGTAAGATTGATCGATTTAAAGCTCGCTTGGTAGCCAAAGGATACACTCGGATTTTTGGGTTGGATTATAGTTATACCTTCTCGCTTGTAGCCAAGATGGCATCTATTAGATGTTAGACTCTTCAGTTTTGTGACTGATATTAAATTATTAGTAGAGTTAGTGGGTAATTATTAAAATTATTATATTATTAATTAAGAGTGTTTAGATTTAAAATAAATAGGGGAAGACCTTAGGGAGTTGAACATCTTGGAATTTGGATAGGAAAATGGGCCATTTAGGCATTCGGAGGTGCAGACCCTCAAAGTTCTGCGGTATTATTCTATAAATCAAAGGGATTTTCCCTATTTTCTTTTATATATCAGTTGGTTTCTATCAACTGGTATCAGAGCAGTTTTGATCCGGAGTAAGAAATTCACAGCAGGAGAAAATGGACATGCTACAGTTTGACGGCAACAGTGATGCCTATTGGTGGCTGATTTGTATTGAGAAGTATTTTGATGTAATAAGAACACCTGACAGTGAGCAGAGTTGTTAATAGCGCCCGTAGCGGCCGCTATAGCGGCGCTCCAGAGCGGAGCGGAGGCCTGCCGCGCGCGCACAAGGGTGCGGTGGCGGAGAGAAGATAGCGGGCGCTATCGCCGCTATCCCGGGTCGCGGATAGCGGGCGCCTTCCGGGCGGAGCGGTTTGGCCTGGTTTTTTTTTTTAATTTTTTTTTTTGACAAAATTGCTGTTTTACCCCTCTTTTAAAATACTTTTTAAAACAGTTTTGCATTATATTTTCTTTCCTTCATTTCACTTTCTCACTTTCTTCTTCTGCCCTAATTTTTGTGCGCCCTTCTTCCACCGTTCTAGTTCCAGCAAGGCAGCAACATACAACTGCAGTCCGCATCTTCTCTACCGTTCCAGGCTTCCAGCAAGGCAGCAACAGCACCATACACCGTTCCAGCAAGTACATCTTCTCCAATCTCCACCGTTCCATCTTCTTCTACTTTTGTCTCACATCTCCGCCGTTCGCAAGCCCTCTTTCATAGATTATTATAATATAATTATTAGTATATAAAAGGTTATCCCGCTATCCGGGATCCCGCTATTCCCACTTTTCCCATTCCCGGGGGTCGGCCGCTCCGCTCCGCTATCCGGGATTAATAACTCTGACAGTGAGAAGTTGCCAGATGAGTTGCCAGAGGCGGTGAAAGCCTTGAGAAACTGTGCTCTCATAGGGTGGCACTGGTGGAGTCAACACTATCTACAAGCTAGTTGGTGTACGTTTCATGTTGCACTACTTTGGCATTTTAAGCCTGAGTATAGAGACACTTTTCCTATATCCGATGAAGAAGAACTTGAATTGGAAATAGAGTCGACGATGCCTCGCACATTTAACTTTCAACAAGAAGAAACTGCCCAAGGAAATTTTGATCTCATTCAGACAGCAGAAGAGAAAGACAAGGAAGAGGTAGAAACTGCAAAAGTAGAATGAGATGCAGAAGATTTTAACGTGAATGTCATTGTGGAACAGCGACAAGAGACAAATGCAGATTCTTCCAAATTTCTTGGTATTGGCAAACAATTTGATGGACAAGGTACGAGTATTGTGTTTGAATCGAGGGTGAGACTCGTTAAAACAACTACCAAAGAGAGATGGACTTCTCTAAAGTTGGACAACCTACCCCCACCACATCTACTTAAGCTGCCAGTTCCTGACAGGTCCTTAGTGAAGGATGGATTTTCCTCTTATTTGATCCAACCACGGTTAATGTCTATTGCTGTCATGCTATGTTTTTGGGTCAAACATACCACCCAAAACAGTGTGTATGATCCAGGCATTAGTTATCATGTTTCATGCCTTACTCTGTCCCTCTACTTCAAATTATGGGATCCGGGAGGATACATTCTTTCACCTTGAGGACAAGGTGATTTTTTAGGGGCGGAGTATTGTTAAACTTCTCATATGATTTAGCAATTATGTTTTTAAATAGCAATTATTATATTATTAAGAGTGGTTAGTGGAGAGTTATAATACTATTAACAGTGGTTAGTGGAGAGTTATTTATGTGTGTTTAGGTTTAGAATAAATAGAGGAAGAGAGGAAAGAGTCAATGAATTGGATAGGAAAAGGGGCCATTTTGACATTGGGAGGTGCAGACCCTCGAAGTTTAGCGGTACTATTCTATAATTCAAAGGGATTTTTCCTATTTTCTTTTATATATCAGTTGGTTTCTATCAACTGGTATCAAAGTAATTCTGATCCAAAAAGATTTTGCCGGTGTGCTGGAAATTATGGTATGAATATGGCTACAGATTTGATTCCAAGATTTGATGGAAAGGAGGCCTATTGGTGGTTGATCCAGGCTGAGCAATATTTTGGGTCAAGAAGAATGAGTGAAGAGATGAAGCTTGAGTGGGCTGTTGCATTTGCATGGAGAGGAGATGCTCTTGATTGGTGGATTTCTTGGAAGGAGAGTCATCCAAATACTTGTTGGTGGAACTTTGTAAAGGCCATTCTCAAGAACTCCAACCAGAAGTTTGGGATTGTCTACTAGAGTCCGAAAACAAAACACAGGAAATCCAAACCACTGATGAAATTCAAGAGCCAATGGCAACTCCAACTGAAGAAAAAATTGGTGGTAAAGTTGAAGACTCACAAATCCAACAATACAATGAAAAAGAAGTTTGTAAAGTGGATATCAAATCTGATTGCGAGGGAGACGAAGTGAAAAATACAGATTCATTAATGGCCGCCAGTGAAGCAAAGGTCCAGAGAAGTGACGGAGAGTCGGCTATTTCATCACAGGCAAAAGACTCACTATTGTCGGTGTTTGCTCCTATTCCTAAAATGAAGTCTAGGAACAAGAAATTTCCACTATCAGTGCCACTGTGGCCACAACAACTGGTCACGAGGAGGGTACTGCCATTAGCAAGAAAATTTCCTACTTCATGTACAACTCAACCTTTATTTTTCAAATTATGAGATCCAGGAGGATATATTTTTCCTACGGTGTATTTCTTTCACCTTGAGGACAAGGTGAATATTCAGGGGGAGTATTGTTAGACTCTTCAGTTTTGTAACTGATATTAAATTATTAGTAGAGTTAATGGGTAATTGTTAAAATTAATATATTATTAATTAAGAGTGTTTAGGTTTAGAATAAATAGGGGAAGACATTAGGGAGTTGAACATCTTGGGATTTGGACAGGAAAATGGGTCATTTAGGCATTGGGAGGTGCAGACCCTCAAAGTTATGCGGTATTATTTTGTAAATCAAAGGGATTTTCCATATTTTCTTTTATATATCAGTTGGTTTCTATCATTAGACTTCTAGCCATTGTAGTCATTTGACATTGGCCTCTTCATCAACTTGACATCAAAATGCATTTTTTTACATGGTGATCTTGAAGAGAAAGTATATATGGAGCAACCACCTGGGTTTGTTGCTCAGGGGGAGTCATCGAATATGGTTTGTAGGCTACACATGTCTCTTTATGGTCTTAAGCAATCTCCGAGAGCTTGGTTTGGTAGATTCAGCATTGTAGTACAACAATTTAATATGGTCTGAAGTGAAGGTGACTGTTCTATCTTTTATCGTCACTCAGCTCAAGAGTGTATTTATCTCATTGTGTATGTAGATGATATTGTCATAACTGGTAGTGATCAGCAGGGAATACTCCAGTTGAAACATCTCTCGAATAAATTCCAGACAAAAGATCTTGGTAAACTCCGTTATTTCTTGGGTACTGATGTAGCCCAATCTAAAGAGTTTGGGGATTTCTCACCGGAAATATGCTATGGATATTTTGGAAGAAACAGGTTTGTTAAACACTAAACCAGCTGATACTCTTATGGATTCAAGTGTAAAACTACTACCCAATCAGGGAGAACCTCTATCAGACTCAGGAATGTATAGGAGATTGGTTGAAAAGTTGAATTATCTCAGTCACTCGTCCAGACATTTCTTTTGCAGTCAGTGTGGTAAGCCAGTTCTTAAATTCCCCTTGTCAAGAACACATGGATGTTGTTATCCGAATTCTGAGATACATCAAATGTGCTCCAGAAAAAGGTTTAGTGTATGAAGATAGAAGACATACTCAGATAGTTGGATACTTTGATGTTGATTGGACATAATCAACCATTGATAGATGATCCACCTCTGGGTATTGTGTACTTGTCGGAGGAAACCTTATATCCTGGAAAAGTAAGAAACAAAATGTAGTTGCAAGATCAAGCGTTGAGGCAAAGTATAGAGTCATGACAATGACAACATGTGAATTCATTTGGTTAAAACAGTTGTTCAAAGAACTTCAAATTGAAGAAGCGAGACCAATGACACTTGTCTGTGATAATCAAGATGCATTGCACATTGCTTCAAATCCAATATTCCATGAGAGGACCAAACATATTGAGATAGACTGTGTCACTTTGTCAGAGAAAAGATTGAATATGGCGACATCGTCACAGGCTTTGTCAACTCTAATGATCAATTGGCAGATGTGTTTACAAAATCCTTGCGAAGTCCCAGAATTAATTATATACGTGACAAATTTGGTGCATTTGACTTATATGCTCCAGTTTGAGTGGGAGTGTTGATATTTGTAAATATATAGTGTTAAGAATTGTTGAGATATTAGTTTATTATTATTTAGTATCTATGGCCTTTATGAGTAGTATCAATTAAAATATTATTTAGGATATTATTGTATCAAATCTTTCCTTAATTAATAGCATTGATTAGGAGGCTTATATATATATATATATATATATATATATATATATATATATATATATATATATATATATATATATATATATATATATATATATATGTGTGTGTGTGTGTGTGTATTTTCTCCTCGTAATAATATACAAGAAATACAGTTTCAACAAGAATATTTGCATATAGAATAATCTCACATCGACTATATCATGTAATTAGCTGTAATCTCTGTATATATAATAAATTTTCCGTAGTGCTTTTCAAAAACACATGATTTATTCAAATGTCTATCGGTCTCTTAAATTTTAACAGTTACAAAAACTAATTAATGTATGGAAGGTATAAGTACAAACAAATATGGAAAACTATTCAAAAAAGTAATTAATACTTTCTTCATATTTTAAAGTGACAAGTAGTTTGAGAAAAACTAATATCTAAAGAGGACGTTAAATATGAAACGGGAGGAGTATGTGACAAGAAGTTCTGAGAATGAGTATATCTTGTATTCGGTTCTTATTTCTTACTTTTAGTGTAAAAAGACTTCAAATATGAGAGTGAGAAAGTAACCAAACATGTTGGTTACTTTTGAGCAGCATTACATTGCCACAAACATGTGTTTAGCTGGCATTTGCCCAAACAGCTCAAAGTGAGCCCATGAATTGCATGCACGAAGCTCGCAAGCTTCTTGCACGAAGGAGTGCCTTACATTGAAAAGGGAAAAAAATATATATAACTCTTTGACTAACAACTTAAGCATACTCTGTTGATATGGATATCAATCAAAGCAATTACATGGAACCAGTTTAGAGTTATATAATCTCTTTGCCAAAGACAAATTCCACAATAAGTGAACTGAAAATACAAAAGACATTCATAAAGTATAACCAAAGTACATAACAAGTCAAAATTTCAGTGCATAAAAAGATAAGATAAACACAGAACCTATTAAATGTATTTTATACTACTATAATACTAAGCAACAGAAACTTTCCCTTAACAGAAATTGTCATATAACCACTTACGGAGAAAACTTTCCATCGACCAGCCTAAAGCGTCCAATTTCATATGTTCGAATAGGTATGCCCTCCCATATCTAGAAAAAGAACATTCCAAAAAGCATAAGTTAAATAGTGTTTTACAAAGAACGGTATAATGTTCTTTTTAAAACACTAAAAAAAATTATTAATAATAATAATAACAATAATAATAATAATAATAATAATAATAATAATAATAATAATAATAATAATAATAATAATAATAATAATTCTAAAAAAAAACATACTAGCATATATCTATAAAAAGAATATACCAAAACACATAATTAATTTATGTTTTATGAAGAAAGTGTTAGTACAAGGTACTTAGGATTAAGGACCTATAAGAAAAGAAGCTTACATCCCACACAATGGTTCGACCATCATACCCAGCACTCATAGCTATCCGAGGATTGAAAGGATGAACATCCAAAACATAAGACTGCCAACCAATGAAAAGTCAGCATTCAGACACATCACAATAGTACGGTGAGTATTCAACTTACGACAGAAAAATGACAAGAGACTAGAAAGTGATCCAAACAGAAAAAATGAGAAAGCAATCCAATCAGAAAAGCATGAGTACATTTCTATTTTATGTTGGTCTAGTAAAAATATAAGTTGAGTATGTGTGTTGAAGGAGCAAATTAGCAGCACATAATATAAGGCGTGTTTGTCTAAGATTTCTACAAGGAAAGTAGGGAATATGCGTTCCCATGTTTGATATGAGTTTAAAAAAATATTACCAGATATTATTTATTCTTGGGAATAAAGTTTCTGCATAATTACTTTATTTTACACTCCCATAATAGAGGGTGGGAAGCTATTATTCCCATGAAAATAAAAGTAACTAACAATAACTTCACATTATCTCTATTTATTTTTTATTTTTTATTTTTAAACTAAATAAAATTTTAAAAAATTCAAGAAATATCAAACACAATTGTATTTTTATCAGAAAATAATATTACCCTAATTTTTACCAGGAAATGCACCTTAATTTTGTCCTTTTCTTTAATAAAAAATATATGCCGGGCTGTCCCGAAAAGCCCACAGCCCACAACCCACACAAGATTGAACTTGGCACTATTTTGAGAATCTGTATTTAATCTGGGTTATTAGCCCTGTTTGATAAAACCCATGGCTGCGTTCCGGTTGGCCTGAAGCGAGTCGTGTAGCCCATTTTGCCACGTCTAGGAAGAACACAAAGGGAGAAATTAAGAGAGAACAGGGCTTACAGATTCAGTATGACCAGTCAAAGAGTGCACTAAGCTGCCATCAACTGCATTCCAAACACATATTCTGCAATCTTTGAGATGAAAAGACAAATCTTCAGCTAAAGCAAGCAAAAGCCTTTCTCCACTATGAAATAACTTAAATTATCTATAGAAAATATGGAAAGGTACTGCAGTGTTGCATATGAAAGCAAAACCAAACAAATAAAATTAAAAGACATATTATCATGACAATTATAATTATAATACATAATTTTGATAAATTACATAATGTAAAATGTCAACTGCATACTAAAACAAGGACTTGTGAAGCAATATAATGTGTTGTCATATAACTTATAAATTTAGCATAATATGTGGCAGGTACTAGTTGACAGCTTTAGTCAATGGGAAAATCAACTTTCAAACGATGTACCAAAACAAGCTTGATCCATGAATAACTAACTAATTATATATCATTATGTTTTTCTAGAAATGGATGAGATAGTAAATGACATATCAAGGACAACACTGTAATAATCATGTTGTAATAATAATCACAGCAGAAGTTTAATTTTGACTTTGGAATAAAAGGTGTCATTGATTTGACAATCTAAGTAATACCAAAAAATACACTAATATACGCATATAAATTCATACCAACACAACAATCTTTTCCCACTTATAGGATTGACTATTTGGATCAAACAACAACACAACACAAAGCCCCGTTATAGCAAATAATTTGAGTAAGTACATTACCCATAATAGCTGCCAATACAAAACGGTTGTCTAGACTCCATACAATCATATTAACGCCGCGGGGAGTAGGTAGCACTCTCTGCCTTGGACCCCCTCGTGGAGGTTGAGGAGGCAGGGGTGGTGTTGGCACTTTTAGATGATATGCACGAATCCAACGTCCTACTTTTCCCTGAAATGGCAATCGAAAACTTAAAACATAGTTTGCACGGTAGGTGTGGTGTGGGGCAAGGTTAAACTACACGTAACAAAGATGCCCAAATATTTGTGGAAAAAATATAATGGAGAAAAATGTCTTCAAGGATGAAATAGACTATAGTTCTATGGTAAATTATATAGAGGCACTCACATGAGATCTACGTGATCTGGGAACCCATATAATTGCACTTCCATCACGAGAGCAGGTAACTATGTTATCATGAGAATACCTGAAAATATACAATACCAGAATGCATCTATTAGGTGTTAGTTCAATGGTGAGAGTTTGACCTTGTAAACTCAAGGGACAGAGTACAAATCCCATTCCCGTTCCCAAATTGTTATTACAAAAAATTAACACAATATCAGAATGGAAAGTGATTAGGAATGAGAACGGGGCACAGCAGTAAATGAACACCTAACAAGTTCAGTAAAAACAATAATAACTGAAGGAAATAATCATTAAGATAGGTATTGACCAGAAATTTCTGAACTTCGGTGTATTTTCTTCTTTCCAAGAGTCAGATGTCCAAGTTTTCGAAGACACTGCGCAACCACTGTAGATAGAAGTACCGATGCGAAGAAAATGAGAATCATTACAAAATAAAACATAATGAGAAAAGATATAAGCACAGCAGCTAACCTGAACTGTACATAATTAACATCATTCTCATGACCAGATAATAAATCCATCTCATGTATTGGCAGCTCAGAGTTATCAGTGTTGGGCTTAGGAGCACTCCATACCTGTTAAATAGTAGTATTTTTCGAATCTTAATAGATGCCATATTTGAACAAGAGAAGGCCAATTGTATTGAACAAGAGGAGGCTTAATTGCAACTTTGGTCCCTCTATTTTGTATTTTTTTCGATTTTGGTCCCCCCATTATAAAAACCACTATTTTAATCCCCTTTTTAAGTTTTCTGTGCAATTTTCGTCCTCCTATTTTGCTTTTTTCTACAATTTTAGTCCCTATTTTTGTTCATTTTTCAATAGAAAATTCAAAAGGAGGACCAAAATCGTGGTTTCTAAAATGGGGGGATCAAAATCGAAAAAAATACAAAATAGAGGGACCAAAATTGCAATTAAGCCAAGAATAAAATATCTGCAGAGTGCTTCAGTAAGCATACCCTGGCAAAAGTATCAGAGCTACCAGTAACAAAAACAGTTCCATTTGCATTATATGCACAACAAAGTATTTGAAGTTCTGGTTGAGCATTACTTGAGGACGGTAGATTAGCTGATGGAGCATTTCCCCTCCCTACAAAAGTTTATAATTCCTCAAGCAATCCTATAATGAATTGACTTAACCTAATATCACAAAAAGATGGCAGTGAACATGTAAAACTATTGATCTAGAAGGCTTAAGAAACTTGCATGTCCACACTTACATAATTTTGGTTTGAACCAGACATGATAACTCCATTCATAGCTCTAAAATGTACTATTCATTTAAACTATTCCCTGCGTCCCTAATTATAAGCACCCATTGGAGATGGGTCCCTAAATATAAGCCCCTTTCAAATTACTAGGTGCATTTACTACTATTTTGCAAACATACCCCTAACTATACTACAAATTTGCTTCGGAATATGAAAATTCAGTATTGAATACATGGCTAAAAATTTGGGTGAGAATGTGTAATATGTTTCAAAGTAAAATGATCTTTTATATTGTATTTAGATTTAATTATAAATTATAAATTATAAATAAAAAAATCAGTTTTTCACCACCGGTATAGGCCGGTTCGGGGGTCATTTCTAGCATCAAGTGGTTCCAGCCCCCTCCCGATCACAGTTGCGGGAGATCGAACCGTGGTCCTCCCTACCAAATCCAGCGTCAATCACCACTAGACCAACTAACGATTGGTACAAATTTTAAATATTAGTTCAACTAAAAACATAACATACTGTAAACTAAAACAAATTTAGTATGGTAATAATGCCAAACTCAAACCAATTCCAGATCCAGTCCTAATCTATTCAGAAAATTATAACCTAGAACCTGACCAGTTATAGCATCTGAAGGCCGCGGTACGTATATGCATGGATTTTGTGAATTTCTTGCATCCCATATTCTACATGTTCCATCATCCGATGACCTATATATCACATAAGTCATAAATATCAAGTAACAGAATAGGAACCCGTATTATTGAAGACTATGAGCACTAGAACGAAAATTACACAACACACGTGTACCCAGAGGATCGATTTTAAAACCAGAGTAATATTTTATAAGATAATTTTATACATAAAAAAATCAATATGATACACATTTAAAATATATGAAAATAAGAACTAATTGTCACAGCCAGTGTTGTCGATGGCGGAAGGTGGTCCATGACGGAGAGCCAAAATTACCGGCCGCTTTGCAGCGCCGTTATAGCGGATTATGGTGGAAAACCCGCAATATCGGCCGATATTTACCATTGCGACAAGCCCAAAAACCGCCATGTATATCCGCCATAGCAACTATGGCACCGCTATTTGATAACACTGGTCACACCTGACACTAGCAATAAATTTAGGATTCGATTATCCGTGTACGAAATAGATTAACAAGACATTCGAGCTACAGAGAATCATAGAAAAGCAATTGGGGAACAGAAACTCTTAAAATAAACTTACGATAGCAGCTGGTATACAGCATTCGGCCTGGGACTAAACGCAATGGTATTCACAGCTCCACCATGCCCTCGCAAAACTGAGATGGGCATCCCATCAGGTAAGCGCCACTGTTGAGAAGCAATTATCAACATAGTTCCCGAAGGTTTACAGGATTGAACATACAGGTTAAGAAATACTACTTACAACTCGAATAGAATAATCATTTGAAGCAGATGCCACCAAAGCATTGTTTGAGCTTACTGCCAAGTCAGTAATGTCACCCTTCGTTTTATGAAAAGAGAACGTGAGATAATATTGAAAAAAACAAATTAATCAAAATTAGTTCCATAATCCATACTCTAGACTCACATCATGTCCACGACAACTAGCCAAACAAAATGCAGTTTCCATAGACCAAATCTTGACAAGACGGTCATCTGAGCCACTGATAACATATCGCCCTGATCCATCAAGTATGGCTGCGAGATAGCACCATTTTTCAAATTTCATCAATCTTAGTATGGCTATTGAAATCATTAGTTATATCACTATATGCGTTTTAGAAGAAAGTATGATAAAATCAGAATTTAACTTCAGAACAAAACTACAAGAAGAGAAAGCAACACATGATGCAAAAAGTATTGGAATTAACTAATATATGTTGATGTCATGTGGCTTTTACATCTAATTAATGGCATTAATGAGAATAACTGAAGATGAACTTGTATAAAAGTATGCCCATAAAGCACCATATTAATAGCAAATTTAGCACAGGAGTATGTCATACCACAATAGACAGCCACACGGTGACCCCTTAGCTTTTTAATATTTTGCATCTTCTGCACCATGGTAGATGGTTTGGCAATAGCATAACAGGCACTCTGAACAGATGGAGCGCGATGGTGCTTTGTAAAACCACCTCCAATCTCCCTTAAACTTAGCCCCTGAACCTGATTAGCCTTCAAGTGTGGCCAACGCATGTAAAGTGGAGGTCGCTTCACCTGCTTAGCAGTCGTTTTTCTATCAACTGTAAAAACACAAGGATTATAATAAAGAGATATGAATATCTCACTCTTCCACACATATGTTTTTAGTGAATGCTGGGCATAACATAAGCCAAGTATAGCAATACAAGACGTATTGATATAAATGTCATGTCAATAGAGCCGATAGATCAGTATTCAGTACTACACTTCTAAAAAGGAAAGACCGTGAAGATATTACAAAACCAAGCCAATCAGCAATTCGTATTTGAACAATCAAATCTTGACTTTTTTCCCTTTTATAAATGTTCATGTCTGCATAATGATAATATCGTATATACGCCCCAATACCAGTCATGACGAAGTGGACAAAAAGATACTCACTGCAAAAAAGTGTATTCTAAGGAAGCAAAGTTAAATTTGGTGTGTTCATATATTCAATTTTCAATTATTACCAAAGCAGACTCTGAAACAAGGATTATATACCCAATTCAGAACTAGAAGTATGCAGCTAGCCCTAACATATTAATACATCCCTTTCCGAATTTCTACATGATAAAAAAAAAAAGGAAATCTTTAATAGATATGAAATATGAATAAATCACAAATTGACTGCATTCATATACTAGCCGAAAATTGCAAGACATTATAAAAATGTTGTTTTCAGTGTATTTAAGTTAAAAACTATATAGATCTTAACTTGAATGATCAAAAGAAAGAAGACTACTGTAGCATATCACATACTGTCAAGAAGTGAAAATGAACCATCTCCGAGTAAAGTGGGAACATCCGCTGCATTAGGACTACTTCCTCCATGCTTTCCATTCAAAGGATGGGTTGTACTCGGCATTAATTGCTCCATAAGCTTTACCAGGTGGTCCTTAGTTATGTGAGGATACCTTGAAGTTACACAAAATGACCAATATTAGTCCCCGTTCATGTAATATCAGGGAGAAGTCATCACTAGCTCAAGAGGAAAAAAATTCAAATCAAGTAACAGATATCTGGATTAAAAGGTGAAGCATCCCCCATTTCCATGTAATAAGATACAAATGGAGATACCTCTACCAATAGGCAGTAGCAATCATACTCATCCGTCATAAGTTTCTTTTACCTTTTCTTAATTGAAAAAACAAAGAACATTTCCAATGCTAACCACCAAGTAAATAAAGAAAAACAGCTACTGAATGCTTAATTTAAACAACAAGAAACTTTCAAGCATAATGGCATTAACCATAGACTACAGCTACCCTCTTTTAATATTAATTTTGTTGCTTGTAGAACCTTACACGTCGTGTTTGTTGATAGTCTCTCTGATTGAGAGTAGAAAACCTACTCATAGATGACTAAACCACAAAGAACAACTAATACGTATACCTATTTGTTGACATTCAACAGCCTGACCCATAAAACTTAAACAAAGGAGAATTTGAGAGAGATAGATGTTAAAATATTGGACAATGGAACTCTATTAAACAGCCAACATAATGAACCAAGTGGAAAGGAAAAAGAAGATTCCCGGCTGATTCAGTATACATTTCTGCTTGCATTCAACAAGAATAGTTCACAAGCATACTAAATGGCCTTCATTTTTAAAACTATAATGAAGAAATAAAGGCAACGAAAATACCTGTCCATTAAATTATTGTAATCTAAAGGTAAGGAGAAGCCATCACCATCATCAGCCTCATCTTCACCGCGCTCACCACTTCTAGAAAACCAAGCATGATACCTTCTAGGTAGAAGTCTATGCTCTAAAAGCTCATTCCTGAGCTGAACAAACGACCTCTGGCACGGCCCAGCAGACAAAAAATGCAAAATCAAAAAGTAAACTTCCCTGAGGTCTATATCCACATTACTCTTAACAGCTACCATATCTTTGAGGGACCGAGCCATCTCATGATTCTCATCCTCCTGCTTTGGAACACTCAAAGGAACAACATTCATCGAAGACGCAACAACGCCCTTAGAAGGCTTGCACTTCTTCGAATCCATGCTTGAAAAACAGCCTACAACAAAACAAACCAACAAAGAAAACTAAAACTAAAGCAGATAACAACAAAAAAAAGTACTCGATCACTACAAATTCAAATAGAGATATACCTCAGAAATTGTTTGAGCCGAAGATAACTTCGAAGCTACAACGATAGGTTTAGCCACAAAGTAACCAAATTCCATTCGAAAGGAAGCATTAACATAGAGATTGAAACGGAACAATGCAATGAATCCGAAACGAAAAGGGTTTAGGGTTGGGAAAAGACAGTGAATTCAACTCTGAAAGGAAAATTTTCTGAACTGGAAAAAATTAATTGCGTTTTTATCACTTTTAGGATGTGTTTGGAATTGAGAATGAAAAGGTTTGGTTTTGAACTTTAATTGAAGAAGAAAAAAAAGGGAAAGAATCGTTTAACGCGATTGGGTTCCGATTTGAATCTGATGAATCTTGCGGTGGTGTTAGGTTGGTGTCCACGGCGGAGCTACGGAGTACGGAGTTGGAAGAGATTTAATTTATGGATTTAATATAAATTTATTTATTATGAGAAAATCTGAAATATATTCGACTATGGTAAAAACATAAAATCATACGTATTTCATAACATAAAAGAATCAAAAAGCATTAGTTTGGCCGGAAGTGAAATTTTCGAGAAATGAAATGACAAATGTAGCCCTAAAGTCGTATGTAGTGTACTCCAATGCAAATGAAATTAATTAGAGAATTTTTTTTATATCTAGGGCACTTCTTCGTTATTTATGGCAAAAATTTTAAAATATTTTCTGAATGGACGATTAACCTGAATTATTAAATTTGTTTCGGATACGTATATTCGAAGTCACCTGTTAGATATTTTCGAAAATACATATTCGAAAGTATCTCTAGACAGAACAAAAATTCAACATAATTCATAATATTCATTCAACATAATTCAAAAAGTTACATATATTTATGAAAAAATGAATAGTTGTAACATTAAATATAGATAATATGTTATATGTATTGAAATGTATAGATTTTACGATGTGTACGTCAATACATTCAAAAAATGGTTCGATTAAACATTTAAAAAATTGTTCGATTACATTTTAAAATGTACCGAACGAATTATCACGACTTAAATCTAAAAATGATTCTTTCTTCGACTTCTCCCTATTTGATTCTCTCTCAAGCTCCATCAAATTGGTGGACTCTACCATCCTATCTAAAAACTCATCCGGCCAAGTTTCCGCCTCTTTTTCATGATGTGTCGTCCATTCCACAGAGGTAGCTGGTATAGGACAACTCGATTTCAAATAAACCTGAACAAAATAGCGTGATCTAAGGTACCCAATACACATGATGCGGCCGAATGGATCTTCGGGTGGAGGAGTCCGAAGAGGAAAAAATGTCTCCGAAAAATTATACCTCGTCAAGTCGATACACACCATCTCGCGTGCACTTGCTATAAGATGATCCATTTCAAGGAAGCTCATCCACTTAGAAACTGGTGCACGAACGGCAAGACTTGGAGCAAGAGTATGGTGAACTTTATTAAATTTATCGTTAGTCACGTATAGGCGAGTGTACAGTTCATTATGTGTCGTCAACTCCGAAATAAGTGTTTGGCGCACAATAGTGTGATTTTCCTCTCCTTTATCAAGTAACTCGAACACGGCACAATACCCGCAATTACCATCACTCCCCACATCCATGATTCGTTCAATGTATTTGTGCATAAAAAGTGGCATCTCGTCAATGTAGATAACCACTGGTGGTTGTGGTTGTTTTATAATAGGCGGTGTACGAGGTGGTTTGGAAACGCGAGCTCCCATATTAGCACTTGTTTTGGATTTTGGGGTTGGAGAATCCGAGAATATTGAATGAACAATTTCATGGTAAGAAGGAGTATGCTTTGTTGAACCATCACCTTGAGAACTTTTTGCTTTTTTTGGCGCACTTTTTGTTTTTACCGGTTGCGGTGTAGGTTTCAAATCGGTGGTTTCTCGAAAGGCGGTTTTTCTCAAAAGTTCTTTGATGTGCAACTTCATAGAGTTATTAGCTTTAGAAAATATATTCACTATCACTTCCAACTCGAAACACTTGAAACTTGATTTGGAGACGAAAAATCATTAAAAATGATTGAAGGTTTATAAGGGTTTTGTTTATGGAGGAATGAAAAATGAATGAAATGGTTGAAATATGTGACCATGCAATATTTTGATATGGAAATGATAGTTTCGGAGATGCACATCTGAAATAAACTATTAGCATGTTTCGCATGTGCAACTCCAAAACTACCTCAAAAAGTTCAAATACAATGTTTATGTTATAAAAACATGGAAAAAAGGTGTCTTCAGAGATGCACTTCCGAAACATGCTGATAGGTGCGCTCAGAAGTGCATCTCCGAAAGGATATTTTCGGGTTTTCAATGGTGATTTTCACCACTACTCGGTGTAAAGAGAAATTCACAAAGAATTCTGACAATTAAGAATATTAGTCAATAATTTTTTTTATTATTTTATGGGAAATTTTAATTAATTTTACTAAAGTATCATTTTTATATTATAGAAAATTTTATTTAATTGACCGATTATCGGTTAATTTAATAATAATTAACGTTAAATTTGGTTTAATGTTAATTGGCATTGAATTTGATAAGAAAGACTAAGATTTAATCTTCTATAATTACGATTGAGAGACAACTAAAATTATTTAATATCAGAACTAATTCTCAAATCAGATTATACTAACTACGAAAACAAATTCAAAAATCATTCAATTGAGCTTATTAATATTTTTTAATTAAATTATAATAGTATATTAAGAATAATGTCATTATTAATTAGTTTAAAAGTACTCTCACTAATCATGTTTTTTTAGAGGCAATAATCATGTTATACACAAAATTAAATTAAATTAAAATTGCGGTATTAAAAGTTAAGTATAGTTAGTTTTTTAGATTTCATTTAAAATATATTAGAATTTATTAAAATAATCCTTTTAATATTTGATGAAAAACTTATTCAAATATATGTATTATATATCTTTGAATTAAATAAATTGTATATTAAAAATAATAATATTAAAGAGTGTTTTTTTATAATACTAATCAGTAGAGTTTTTTACTATTATTTTTAAAAGTGATTAAGATTTGTGGGTTTTGATCAATAATAGTCATTTTTTTACTGCAATATAAATAATATTTTTAATATAATAATATTTTAAATTTTGATTGATTAATTGTTATTGTTTTGGATCGACTACAAGGTCTAATAAGCAAAGTCCAACATAGGCGTATGATGTTATTAAATGTAGAGTTGACAGACTTTTTTTCACTCGATGTTATAGAGTATTTATCATGAGGATACCATGTCAATCTTTTAAAATTCATCCAACGGTTTACTGTAGCCCACGCATGTGCAATTACCAACCAACACTCTTATTTAAAGAGGAAAATGTGTCACTCTTAGGTACAAAAATCATTCTCATTCAAATTCCACTTTTCATACCCTTATTGACGTGACTGTTGGAGAGTTAACCTTGATTGTCAGACCCTTTTCCACTACATCAAAAACATTGAACCAACACAAGAAACTGTAAATTCACACTATCCAATTAGGGGTAGACTAGTTTTGTTGAGAACATATGGATAATGTGCAACTAGTTTTCATGATAAGGAAGCTATGTGTAATAGATGTCACCATTTTTGGAACTTTAGTTGATACAAAAGAGTTAACTTCTCTATAAAAATGCATCAACTTATATAGTCTGACATGTTGTTAGAAAAATATTTATATGACTGAATTCTTGAACAAATATTTGCTTTGTGCAGGTAAGGGCTGGAGTAAGAGAGTATTATTTCTTACCATTCAATCATGTTGATAATAGAGGTTTATTTTCTTTGTTGGTTTGTTATCATTGTTTAGCCCACCTACAATTCATCAATGTTCCAAGCGTTTGTTCAATTCTAAATTGTATTGTTGTAAACTTTTAGTAATATGGATTAAGGTGACTTGGACTAGTCATTGATTGTATAGGTCATTGATAATACTATTATTATCTAATTTAAAGTCTTTAATGGTTGAAATAGGGGGATTTGGACTTAAGTATTGGCTTAAGTTGGATTAAGTTTTTTTTAACTCAAAAATGTGTTATTGGGCTAAAAAAACCAACCCAATAACTCGATGAAACTGTTTGTATTAACATGTGATCCGTCTTAACTCAACCCGTCTAAATCAATTAAAGAAATGGGCGGAAATAGGCTTATATAGCTCAACCGCTGGTTGGAATGGGTAAGACTTTTGGGCCTGAAACTGCCCAACCTGGTTCGTTGTCCAGCCCTATATTCGATCATCATGTAATTTCATAGAAGAATATTGGTGTTGTATGTGGGAATTGACTTTTGATTCCTATAATTTACACGATCCATTATTTTCTCGATTTAAATGAATCAGATCCAGATCTTTTTTTATCAAAGCATATATCTTCATATTCAAATCAATTTCATCAAGTTCATAGTCAAACTCTTTATGTCATATCCATCAGACAATGGCAACTTCCAAAGTCATTCCTTACGCCATTCAACGACAAGCAACTACAGCCGTCGAAACGGCTAGGAATCCTCTTTATCCTCCTCGAAGGACAAATGATCAAGTCATGACAACCACTCCTTATGTTCCTCCACTATGATCTTTGTCCAGTATAGGATGGGTAAAGGAACTTCTCAATTTCCTCTATTTGTTAAATCCACTCCAAAATTTCAACTAGGTTAACCTTCCTTATGACATACGTTACGACCTACTTTAACTGAATGTGAAGCACTTTGTTGTTTCCAACTCTTACAGGCTAATTTAGACCCGTAAGAGTTAATGAATTGTTGAACAACATGTATTAGATCGAGGAAAGCATGCATAATGTCAT